CTCTTTAACGATGTCGCGCTATAAAATGACAAGCTTCATCTAAGCGAAAGAAAGTATATTGGTCATGGGGTGACCAATCCCTGGCACCCTACAATTCGCAGTCGACTAGCGTCTCCCATCATTTTCACGTTCATATTCGCCTACATGCAGCCTGCACTTAGACGAAAATATCGCCTTCACATCACTGGAACTTAAAAATGCTAAGTGTCGTTCCCACAAAAAAATTTCCCGATCATCGTGCAGGTGAAAATGACTGTAGCATTACAAGTACTGCGGTTTAGTTTTCCAGCAATGTGATGCTGTGAAGACAGAGCTGGACTGCATAACATAGCTATGTAGGGTCGATAAGGGGGCAGACTGCTCTTAGACATTTTTTGTTTATTTCTTCAGTGATCTTGATCAAACTTCACAGAATTATGCATTTTTTTCTGCTGATTTCAGATGTTTAATTAGTTTTTCTGTAACTCATCTTATTCCTGAGATTACTAAAGTTCACCCCTTATTGTTTAAGGCCACCATAGAAAAAAAAGTGCTTAATTAAAAGTGATATTTAATATATCCTAACATAGACTAATGACTGTAGATTGAAATAATGCAAGAGTTTTTTGTTTTTAAGCCTTTCTTATTATTTTACAGCAAAATGAACTATCCATTTTCAAAAGCAGTTGGAACTGCTGTGCTAAAATTTTGATGAGTAATTAATTAAAAAGGCTTGTTCTCTAAATTCTGCTCCCATACTTGCATCCTACACACATACAGGTTTCCATTGCAAAAAGAATTATTGTAGTACCTGCCCTAGCTGCAGAGATATTGAGCCCTCAAAATTGAACAGTTGTAAATTTACTTTTTTGAGAAAAATGGGAAAAACTGAAAACACACAGCTTCTTCAAAAAGCAACAATCATGGTGTGCATGTTTTGCAATTCTCATAAAAGTGCTCATAAATTCGTAGCAGACCTTCTAACACAGGTGCCGGCAAATTATAAAGAGGCCTCGAAGTTGGTTCCCTATTTTTTTGCAGGTTCTTCATGCTAACAGCACCAAGAATCTGGACAGTTAGAATGACATTACAAAAAAATTACCATTTCCTGGTGTGTAGAAATTTGCAGAGATAGCAAAATACTAGCAGATACCAAATATGTCAATTTTAAAAAATGATTTTTTTGTCACTTTTTGGTCCCAAAGAGCAGTCTGCCCCCTTAAGAGATCAAGGCCGCCTAAATTGACGCGCATTGATCCAGGCGGCAGTGGGAGAAACGATCGCTACAAAAGAATAAAAAGTGCGGCAGATCACGTAGTCAGCTTAATACATGTGTCATGGAGGCGAAACTTGCAAACAAGCTGCGACACACGAAGTTGCCTGATGCTGCTTGGCTGTCTCGATCATAGCATGCTGCAGAGAACAACACTCACTGTGTCAAGCCCAATTAAGAATACATGTTAGCGTTCCTTGATTCCAGTAACCACGTGAACAACGTCCAATGTGCATTTCTCCAAGTATGTCTACGGCGCGGCGTCATTGGCGTCGTCTGCCGTGGAGTGGAAGAAGAGCGGCGCGTTGTGGCGCGCAGCGAAACTTCTCCAATTACATTTTTTCAATGGGGCGCGCGCCGAATGGGACGACTTCAGAAACACTGCCACGCGCACCTGATCTAGGCGGCCGTGATTGCACACCCATCTGCGCTATCCATCCATTTTAAAAAACTTGAAGGAGCTATGGTCATTTGTTTGTCTCTGAATTAAAGAGTTCGACTTATCAGAAGTGCCTCCAAAAAATGAATGCTAACATGCCAAGTGCACCCAAATATGTCACTTGAAAACAGTGAATGGTCTATGTACTTACAACGGGGAGGAAAAAAACAAGAAAAAACATTTATTTGGCTTCAAGCAGTTTTACATAAACCCATTGAGCACTCAATTTCAATAATAAATGTGCCCGTGAATAAATTGCTACCACATTTTAACAACAAAAGAGTATTTTGGCAATTACAGGGGGGGGGGGGGTAGTTGGAAACAAAGACAAGTCAAATTTTCCCTCAGAGAAAGGAACATTGATTTTTCAAGCTGTTCAACTGCTGTGAGCCCATTTTACTAGTTTTGAAAGTATCACTTTTGGATACATATGCCTCCATTGCATTGTCACCTTGACAAGGCCAATTGTAATGATGAATGTAGTGGGTCATGCAAATCTCGGCAAACACATTGTCAGTGCTAAGCACGAGACACTCGGCCCGGACTGTCGCTGATTTCGCTAGCTAGGCCTACGCTCCTACCTGGTCTCTGAGAACAGTTTTGACTGTCTCAGTTCTTTATTATACAATATTCCATGAGTTGCATACTAAGGTGTGTAAGGTTCAGACTTTTTCTTATTTTGAGACCGCACTAACTTTTTCAGATTGATATGCAGCTATATTTATTGTGCAAAATGAACTTCTTTTGCTGTGCACTTTCATAATCAAAATGGCACATCACAATTTGCACTTCACTGGGAACAGATACGATGCGCACAGGACCTATATGAAACATCGCGAGCTGACCACATGTGCTTGGACACCATTGTGTGATAGCTGCAACAATGAATCTGACCCCTCTGATGGAATTGCTAGAGCCACAAAAGTGGTTTTGGTTCCGTATGCGATTACAGACAATTGTCCCCGTTTTCACTTTCATTCCCTTCCCTCGAATTTTCCCCTCTCGACAAGCTTTTATGTTCTGCGAAACTCTTGAGCACTTTTTCTTGCTCGCTTTGCTGATAAAACTAGCCCTTTCTCCATCTACAGGCTAGGGCTGAGAGAAATACAAGCTTTATGTGCCGACCTTTCTTTTATGCTTATCTCGCTTCCTCCCTCCACATCGCAATTTGCTTTGCGTTACTGCACCAGGAAGTTATTTCTTTTTTTCATTTTTACTAGCTTTCGTTCACCTGAATTCCTGGTCTACAAAGTTCATAGTACAGGATTGCTGCCATCGGCCACTCAAATAGAAGAGGCCTGTTATGCGATTCTTCTTAAATAGAAGAGGCCTGTTATGCGATTCTTCTTAAGCAGATTTTTTTTCTGAACTGGATCTATGAAAAACCAAACAAATATTCCCATGTTGCTCATCTTAAGCAAGAATTCATCTTAGCAGAGTTTGTCTTAATGGGAGTTTACTGTATTACTCTTACATCGATTCATTTAATTTTAAAAGCTCTATATACTGACTATAATAAGTATAATAAATTCTCAAATGTTACGCATTTCACAGATAATCATTCGCATTGTACAAAAAGTCAGATCCTGCTAATAAATAAAGTTGCTTCCACATTTTTTTTATCAAACAAAACATTTTCATATGCCTTGTTTCAATTAAAATAGTATATTCTGCAGGTTAATTGGGTCATGACAAATATCCTCACTTTTCTTCATAATATGCGACAGACACTAGTCGAATTCCATTTGAAATTATTTGACCAAATAACTATTCACTTCAAATTTTCTTAGAATGTGAAATTTAGTTTTTGCACAAGCCTAGTTTCTATCTATTTAATTAAAGTGCTCTAGTGAGGCTGAGGTAGACCATATGGGACTAAACAAACAAACAAAAATTGGCTTCTAGAAATTCTTAACTGTGTATGCACGGGAGGCATAACACGTGATAATAATTACTCCTCCCTTAATTTGTTTATAACACTTTGTAAAGACATGTCTGGCTATTACACTGACTCATTGCTGAGGCGCCAGAGATAAACCATTTTCAATATTGGCATCCTCCTACAGAGCTCTTAGGGAGTGCAAACACACACAAGAGCAGAGTTTCCAGTGTACGTGCTCATCAGCACTGGCGGCACTACCCACCGCATGGTGAATACAGTGGAACACCGATCATATGACTTTCAGGAGACCATCCAATACCGTCGTATAATCCAGGTGTCGTATAATCGAAAAAGTAAGATTATAAGCAGTGACACTCAGCCTTGCCCAAAAAACGGGTACAGGCCGCTTGAATATGCCCACAGCACGACCTTGTGCCTCTGCAAGAAAGCTAGATTAAATTGTTCGTGCCAATAGTAGCTAATGACAGCATTACTTAATTGTCGGAGGTGCAAGCAAACCTTTATTCTAAACTTGAAAAAAAAAAAAAGAAAATCGAATCCAACCTGCATCTTTCTACCGATAAACACAAAGCCCAAAAGGCAGGAGATCAGCTGTATGTCGACCAGGAAAAGTTTCCACAAACTAAAAACATGAAAATATCAGCTGGCTGAAGCTACTCTGTGTGGATAGAGCTTGACTAGGTGACGATTCCCAATATGTACGCATGCGATCGAGGTGTATGTAGAAGCACATGAACTTCCAGGAAAATAAATTTACCATTCTAAAAAGAGATTTTGTTTCTACTTTTTTAATCGTCAACTTAAGAGAACACAAGTTCATATTTTGCATTAGTGTATATTTGAACAACTTACAATTCGGGTAAAGGTAGATTTTTCTTTCGGATGGAATCTGAAAGCCGTCGTAAGATGCAGGGTCGACGTAAAACTGCGTCGTATAACCAAGATGATTAACACATTACTTCTATTGGGGATTTTGACGGGACCAAATCGATTCGGCGTAAAATGCGGGTCGTCGTAAAACTGGGGAATGTATAATCGAAGTTCTACCATTAATAACAATAACAAGTAATAACTAGTAATAGTAATAGTAACCAGTAATAACAATACCATTTACCGTTTGCATTACGTCAGCATAAGATTGGCTTCTACATTTGCATACATCCAAGCTAACACCAGCTTTAGTGCCAATGTGATATGACGTGGCCATCTTTAGGTACTGTGTGTAACAGTTATTATTATCTTACAAAGTCTTGATCTTCCGTTTCAAATCCAAATCATGAACGCCACGTACTAAGCTCTCCTATGGACACATAAGAGTGAGTGTACCACCTGACATGTGCCTGCCGAGGAGCTATTAGTTCCAATGTAACTCTGTGCAAGCTGAATGCACTCAAAAGGCGTCCCACCTTTGGCATGGCCGTGAGGGTGGGCGGTGTTCGCACCACATTGGGCGACGAAGTGCTCATTTCAGATGCCGACTGCATGGATGTGGGCACAACCGTTGTTGGGGCCAGTGAGCGTATGTTGGTGATCACAGGCGTGCCACTCGCCTCCGCAGCGACCTGGCCTTTGGCTGAAAACACACAGCTGTCTCACACTGCTGCCCACCAATGTGATAAAGACACAAAGCACAGCAACGAATGTTCGTGATGGCAGCGAAAATGCAACACAAATTGTAAGGCCATGGATATCTCTACCAAGTTCGAACGGGCCTCAGAGGCGAGAACTCGAGGGTAATTGGGTACTTTTTATCAAAGCTTTTTAAAGGCGGTATATCCCATGCAGCACACCAGCAATGGCTCCACAACAGTGCAGCTAGCTTCAATGTGCTACAAAAACAAAAATTTAGGGACCCTCAAGCTTCAGAAAGGGAAAGAGACAGTTACCCATTTGTAGCATGAATGTACAAAAAAATCCGCGAGGATTTCTCAGGCAGAAAAGCATCTTAGTTGCTGAAAAATTTATCCTGGTCCGGGGTTCGACCACAATATCCTCAAGCTTTCAATTCAATACCCTCCAGCTTCACCCTTATGAGTTTAACGCGATAGCGATATCCTCTCCCCAGTGCTTACTTAGAACCCTCAGTGGATACTTTTTACTGCATGATGGTACTCAAGAAGTTTAAATTGTGAATTAATACTATGTAATTGATAAAGGTAATAGTGGCTTGCGTCAGTGAAGTTCTCGTATATGGCTGCATTCTGTGTACTCGGTAGCACGCTCTGAAACACGAGCAATTATGCGGGTAAAATGTTTTCTAACTTTCTATGCACCCGTTACGTGGTCATAAGGCAATAGTCAGCACAGTAATGTGTGTGCCTTTTATAATGGGTGGCCAGCTTTAAACCATGAAATTGGTAAGATAATCCGATGTTCTGATGCCCGATGGAAATGTACGTTTGTGCCACGCAATTTTACTACCATGTTACATGTGGTATTGTGAAGCCTGCATACAGGCACTCGCGTGTTTGTCAAGCATGAAAATTATTCTCGCTGTATTTGCCAGCGGAGGAAGTTATTTTCACTGTCTTTCAATCAGATGCGTGACAATTTAGTAAACATCTGCTTGATATGCTTATGGCCTGGCTTAGATCCTCACTTGGATACGAAAGTTTTTATTATTTATTTTATTTGAACCTTAGATTTTTTGGCCATGGACAAGATGATTTTTCGCTCACAACTAAACACGCCTACACCAGAATTCCAGCAAAACAAGCTATTTCATGCTATCACATTAATAACTACGTTGGAAATATAGGTAAGCCTTTCCGGGACTTCTTGTATAGGGTGAAGTTCATGCTTTTTGAAGTACATCTCTACGATTGCCACAAGCCAAATGAACTTCAGCTTTGTACATAGTACTTGAAAAAAAAGGCAGATGACAAAAAAAACCTAGATGTGCAGAATATTTTGGAATAAAGTGCTCAATAATCCGTCTTAATAAATAAAAAGTATGACAAGAATTTAAACTAATGGGTGAAGAAGTGAAACAAGCTGTAGAAAAAGTAATTATAATTGCAATGGTTCTACGTGCCCAAAACTGCTATGTGATTACGAAGCATGCTGTAATAGACTGCGGAAATTTCAACCACCTGATTTTTGTTTACATGCAGCTAACAGAGAAACCTCCAGCATTTTGCCTGCATTGAAATGCAACTGCTGTGAACGGGAATGGATCTGTGAACACCTGGTCAGCAGCCAGGTATAAAGAAGAGTAGCATTGAGAGAAAAAAAAGGAGCACCGAGTACTGCAGCTCCATCTTTTTCATTGAGGGATTTTCTCAGTTTTGCGTGGCACTTGTAAAAGCTTTAGTCTATTCTAATGCAGTCAAACTGCTCTTCACTGGAGATACACTGAACACTTTAAGATAACTTAATTAAGCTTTAAAGCAAGCATGGGTGATCATCTATTCTTAAATTTCAGCACATCCCGACATTGCCACTAGTATGATGTAAACAGAGACTCTGTGTGTATAGTTTCAAAAGAAAAGCGAGTATTATCGATGTCACAAAACCTCCACAGGGTGTACACGAAATTGCGACTGGCACCCAGCGAGAGCTATTGTTCATTGCCCCTCTCACTTTATTGTTGGGCTGCTTTCAAACTGATTTTGGCTACTTACACCATAAATGCCTTTCTTTTTCCTGAGGGGGTCATGCTCATAGCACCCACAGAGCTTCATTCTTTATAACGTGGGTCCTTTGATCTAAAAGATGTGCAATCAGCATCACCGAAGCTTGAGCACACGCGGTTTCGGACGCTACCCTGCTATGGGGCAATAGTTTATGATTTTAGATGGGCCTTTTGAAGCGATGCTAAACTTGGTCATAATTAACGATGTTAGCATCATTGATACAACATATTGGAGCCTTTATGATTCAATTTCAGCATTGCCAGACATTCCCAAGGCTACAAATTACAGTAAAAAAAAAGTCTCACACAATAGTTTCACTGCCGGGGGCCCTTTGAAAAAACTAAAGAGAGAAAATACAAGCAAATGACAATTGTGTACTAGCCCCAGAACCGTGTTCAGACAGGTTGATGCATCTGCAGACACCAACTCACCAGCTGTAGGCGGAACAGTGGGAGATGAAGTGGTGAGTAGAGGCAAGTTTTTGAACTGGTTCTGGAATGTGATTACACACTTATAGGAGCAAAAGTTGCGTATGGAAGCATCACTCATGGTGAGGTGGTACTGAGCAGGCATACTCTTGAAGCAAAAGTCACAGCGAATGATCCGTGCTGATGATGCATTCTGGTTCACACGAAACAGATTCACACAGTTCAGTGAGCAGAAAAGGTGACTGGTCGCTGCTGATTCCACGCGCTCGATCATGTCAAAGTTATATTTCTTCACCTGTGAGACGAAAAAAAGACACTCTTAAAACAGTACAGCAAACATGATGACCCCATTCAGCAGGTGCCATATGCTAAGAAAATGACTCAAAATGAGATATATTAAGTAGTAAACAGTACCTTAAATGCACCACAAGCAGGTAGTGGCAAATCAACATGTGCTATCAGATTATTTGTGTTTTAGAAAAGTCACAAGACTAAGTGTTTGTTGTGACATTGTGCATCCCTGTATGCCATCTACAGACTCGCAGTTTTGCGAACAGAACAGATGCTGGCATACATACACCTAAGAGAGACTGGGGGAGTGTATGAACCTTTTTTTTTTTTACTTTTACTCACTATACAGAAAACATAGCAAGCCAGTGTCGAAAAGAGCAATCTCAAAATACACAATTTTATGTATGTGAATGCTTTCTTCACAGCAGAGATTTCAGTAGCAACATACAAGAACCCCCTTTACCAAGATGCCTAAAAAACACAGATTTGTTCAGCAGAACATGACACGCGTGTCAGGTAAGAACATGACAACATAACGCGCTCATAGCGTGCTCGCGGCCGTTTCGCTAGCACCACATATCCAAAATTTGGTATCACGTGACGTAAATAGTAGACGAAGGTAAACGACACATCCAAACATGATAATCATGATGCGGAAGGCATGTACTGCATCATTTACCTCCACCTCATAACGTTGTGCTGATTTTAAAGTGACATATCAACATTTCTCATTCATGCTTCGCATATCATTGATTTCCACTGTACGTGAAATCTGGCAATTTTTTTTCTCTGAAAATTGGAGCAAATTTAAGGGGTGCATTTATTACACGGGGTAAATTTTATGAAAACTTTTTCGGGAGAAGAAAAAAATGCGGTAATGCAAAAAAAAAAAAGTAAGATCGCTTAGCCTTTCGCAATTTACATACGCTTACGCTGCTTGGAAACAGCTTCTTTGTTGCACTTTATACGCGTATACTGTTTGGAAACAGCTTCTTTGTAGCAGTTTACTCATCTTCGGTGGTTGATGGCGCTATCTTCTGATAGCTGTTCCTGGGCCGGCTGCCTGCCCACCCCCTAAAAAACTGCTTTGCATTATCTTTTCTCCCAATCGATTGTTTAACCGCGACAGTGGTATCTGCTTGTGATCTCGAGGGACGCCCAAAAGCGTGCACTCACGGTGGAAGGCGGAATGAAAGGACAGTCAGAGTGAAGAAAAAACGAAGGCTAAAAAAGAAGAAGGGGGGGGGGGGAAGGCTCGCAGGAAGCGGGCAGTTTGGTGACCTTCATTGGCTGTGTGCTTATAAGTTGCGATGTCTCTACAAATGTCTCTATATTCTCTACAGATACCTCTACACCCACTGCTCCTGAACCCCTCTGTGGTGGCGCATAGATAAGACCGGGAGGTGCCGCGCACAGAAAGAAAAGCAATAGGCATGCGGCAATGGCCGAAGGGGGGAGGGAGTGGTGGTTGAGGAGGTTGGCAAAGTAATAAAAAAACGGAAGAAGGCCTACAGGTGAAGAGGCACCAGGTGTCGGTTAGCGGGACTGCAGGGGATGAATGTAAGGAATGCGCTTATTACAGATAAAAAGAAAAGCAATACAGCACGAACGGCACGTGGCAATGGGCGAAGGGGGGAGGGAGCGAGCCGAGGTGGTTGAGGGGGGTTGGCAAAGTAATCAAAAACGGGAAAAGATCCAGCAGGTGAGGAGGCACCAAATGTCGGTTAGCGGGACTGCAGCGGATGAATGTAGGGGTTGCGTTTATTATGCGCCCCCCTTTTGTTTCACGATGTAGTTAGGTTTAGCGCAGAATTTAAAACACTTTGCAGTCAAACACGCCTGCAAGGCACGTTTGACTAGATAAAGTAACACTGGCACGGGCCTATTGGCCCTACAACGACACTGCTTATCTATTATATGCGCTGTTGCTATGGAAATTAAATGTAGATGCCGGAACGCCGGCGTTTACAGCACTTTAAATTTGTTCGCGGGTAGTAACAGCAGCATACGCTTTTAACTTTACTTTTAATCTGCTGCGGTCAGCGGACCAACAGCCACGCGGCGTTGTTGCTTTATCTGGTCTATCGCATTTCACGAATGTCCTGCCGTAGTTTATTTTACGATAAAGGTCAGGGCACCTATATCACTGGATCGATTGGGGATGTAAACAACAAAGGGCCAACGTGGCCTTTAGTGTATGGGCATTTTGGCGCAGCATGACGCAATTTCGGCAGATTTCATTGTTTCGGCCCAGCTCGGCACAAAAATGTGGAATAGTATAAAATTGGGGCAATCGGCGCAGCTGTTGCATCCCTGCATCTGCTTTGAATATTCAATTCTTTAACAATGTAACAGGAACTATCACACATGACAAACCTTTCAAAACTACACTGCATAATCAGAAATCAAAATGGAAACATCTTTATTCTGTGACCTCCTATGGGCCTGGGGAAAGTTGGCAACCTCGACTGATTGTAACTGCAGCCAGCAGCGTCAACGCACACTGGCTAAAACATCAATGACAGTGTGTTTATACTGTGCTCCTAGCATTGTTAGTGAATGCAATGTCAAGTGGGACTGGGGTCGTGCAGCTTTTGTTTCAAGCACATCTTTCCATGGTGATGCACCTTGCACAGTAGGCTGTCTTGTAGTTAGCTCTCATTTTATTACACCAAAATAATCAGCACTAGGCAGCTTCCCAAGTCACTCTGGAAGTGTTGGTGGTCACTAGGCCAAACTCCTATGATCACCCTTCATGTAAGCACGCCAGCAGAGAAAAACTCCAGGCCCGATTGGAACGCGCAGCACAGTCGCAACGAAAGCTGGAAGAGTGGCCTCTCTAAAGCTCATACGAGGCTGTCTTGGAGCAAATAATACAAGTACATATGCAAGGTATCCACTACGCTATAAATCGTAATTTTTGTTAAATAAGAGAAGCACCCCGGTCTCTTTCATAATCATATGGTGGTTTTGGGACGTTAAACCCCACATATCAATCAAGAGAAGCACCCACTATGCCATTCTTGGTCTTTCCACACATAAGCGAAATACCCGCTACCCATCTGCAAGGCATTAAGCGCACATTGTTGATGCTGCATGTGGCTGATGACAATGAAGAATTCCGGCAGAGCCCTTTGTAGTGGGTTGGAGGCATTGAGTCGGTCCACAATCCAACCCAATTGTTATTTTACTTTTATACCTTGCCAAATTCCGTATGTTAACGCGATTCTTTGGCCGACATTACGCTGCTAGTCTCTTTCTGTGAAGGGGTTTTAAGCACCGACGTGGCTCTGTTATATAATACTAGACTGAGATGCAGAGGACCCCGGTTCAAATGCCATCCAATCCCAAATGTCTTGCCCCACTTCACGTTTTCTTATTTCTCGTGAAGAGGCTACAGACACAAGTGCAGTGGCAAACAAATACAGTGCTGCTATCACATCCTTGTAACAGCTTTTGCTATGAAATCACAGAGGCCTTGGAAGCCTTGAAACACACCTTGCACCAGGCACAGGGCACTATTTTCCGGTGAGACAGCACAAACAGGTTCACACAGGCCTTGGTGCAGAACTGCAGGCAGACGTTGTCATAGTAGAGAGAACTGCATTTGTCGGCTGCATTGTCGTACAACTTGTGGCAGTTTTCACAAACGACCATCTTTATTTTTTTTGCATAACGAAATTTCGACACACACGTGTCGCTGCACAGGCGATGAGATGCGTCATTGAAGTCAACCTACAAGAAAGCAAACAAAATAGTTACAGAGTAACTGTACTGTTTTTTTTTTTTTTTTTTCGCTTACGAAAACCAACCAATGCAATGGCATTAACTTAAACTTCGAACATTAAAGCTACTATATCCTAATTTAGCACCTGATGTAGAAACCATTCAACCGAACTGACCTTGCGTATTCCAAAAAAAAGCAACTGCAACACAATAAAGGTGGGTGTGTAAAGGAGAGAAAAAGAAAAAGAGAGGTTCAAGAGCCGCAGTGCTGCACATCGACAAGAAAGCTGCATTTATACAGCATGCCCAGGTATCCTGTTCACTTCTGACATGGTATGATAGTCAGTATAACAAACAAAAAGCTGTAATTCCCTGTACATAACGGGGAAATGACGGGGAAATGACGTTCCTTGGTTTAAGAACACGTGCAAGATGAGTTGTGCTTTGTCGCGGATGTATAAATTGGGTGTGATTGGCATGAAATAAACAGTTGCAAGTTAAGCGCCTACCTATCTCTACGTCTGTGTCGTGTCTATTTCTTTTATGTACTCCGCTAATACACGCTACGTAACTCCAACACTTTTCCCAGAATTCATAAAATCGTCTCACTGTCAGAGTTTATTGTCTCACGAATCAACTGCTTGGGTACCAGCAATCACACTGAAAGCTAAGCAAAAAGTTGAAGGGGGAGAATGACAGGGGGACAAGATGCAACATTCATACATCACCACACATCCTGACCTTGAACCCTTTCTTATGATGTTATCTCTGAACACGTGGCTCCCTTTTTGTGCTATCATCAGCGTGCTCTGTAGAGCGCGATGGACGCATGTCACGGCACATCACGGTGGCCACAGTAATTAAAAAGCTCACAATGCTCCAATCACCAAATGGCCATGTCCATGTGCTTTGAGTACGTGACACAGTTAATTTTAGGTATACTGCATAATTTGCTAGAAGAAGAAAGAGCAATGCCTAGCCGGCTCTAATATGCAATTGTAATTTCTATGACATGTGCTTCGTTATAAAGCTTGGCTCACACATTCATGAGAGCCTTCATGTTCAAAGTGTGCTGCATGGCTTCTTTAAATAAAAAGAGTGCTGCAGTCTCATGCTATTCACTACATATTTCACTAGATTCCAACAGCAAGCATGGTTCTTCATAAAACAGAGCGCACATGATAACATGGGACAGAAAGAGATTAGGACAAGCGCTTGTCCTGATCCCTTTCTGTCCCGTGTTCTTATGTGGGCTCCGTTTCATGAATATGCCCAAACCTTCTCCCTTTTGAAGCAAGCATGGCTCTGCCAAGACAATTCACTGACAGTGATTGCAATACTCAGAATCTATAGGAGGTGCAAAGATAGTTCTGTTTTTTATCAGCCAGAACCACTGAAGCCAACAGAGTGAGGCCAAGAAAAGTGGAGGCACCTGTGACACCATGTGCATCTTGGTCTGCGCTGCAGCCAGTTATGCAATGCTGGCAACTTGAAAGCATGCATACTGAAGCACTTGGGTGTGTTGCGACAAGACACGTTCAAACCAAGTATGACCGATACGAAAGCTTTCGAGACATTCAAGTGGCAATATTTAATAGAGCAAAGCCACAACCTCTGCCTTGTATGCTTTTGTTCACTTTATAATTATAAACAAACAGTACATTATCAGCTGTCCCAGTTGGATCAAGACTAATCGCTATATTAATGGTTTTTTTTTTTTTTTTTTCAGAAAGGATTTTAGGACGCAATTCATACACTCCCTTCTACATCTGGCTGGCCTCAAGACTGAATTCACTTTATGATCCCCCCCTCTTATAGAATAATGCCAAAAGAGGCCGTACAAGTAAATGTCTTTAAAAAAAAAGTGCTACTGTTTTAAAGGGCACTGCCAAAAAAATTCTGGCCATGCGTTTTTTGCTGCAATGTGTTCTTGAGGGCTTGTTAGTCTTAACACGACACATCGCTTTCTGCAGCACATGACAGATAATTAATTACATGTTCACTATTGCCGACCATTGTCAGTTTCAGTTTCAAAAACGACAAACCATCAAGTGCAAGTATTACCACCTAGCATTTGCAACACTCGAGCATGTCAGCACACAGAACAGTAGCGAACTGCCACGCGATTTGCATCAAGATGTTTTTTCGAACAAGAAACGAGACAGCAATGTCATGAAATACAAAACCTTCAACTCATGCGCCGTGGCAACGGACTCATGAGCAGCTTCCGAGTAATAGTCTGCTGGAGCATACACGACCAAAGAAAAATGATGGCTGTGACGTCATAACTTGCAGCAGCGCGGTCACATAAGAGAAGTAAGGTGTCCCCAAGGAGCCCCTTCAAGGGTGTCAATAGTGCAATAGAGTCCATCGCTCACGCAAACTTCAAAATTTATTTAAAATATCTTCCAGGCCATATTCGCTGTTCATATTTTGCAGATGATATACGCATGTTGTAGTAAAAGAGTTGCAGCTGTCCTGCGTAGTGTTATAAAATAGAAGCATACGTGCATGGCACACACCTGGTACTTGGTGGTCGACTCGGCGTTGCAGGCAGAGCACTTGTGGGCCACTAGGTTGCCCGCATTGAATGCGTTCATGCGCTCATACCGTTCAAGGCATTCCTGACTGCAGAAGTCCTTGAAGTGACCTTTGTCTCCCACTGGTGCCAGAAAGCCTTCCACCTGTTTAGTCAGGTCCTTCTGGCACAGGCAGCACACCTGCACAGGAAGTGACAAGGCTGCTGCACAACGCGAACATCCATTCAGCCAACAAAAAGACCTGACCTTTTCTAGCAGTATGACCAATGACAACTATACCTGTCATCAACAAAAAATGGTTGCATGTGAGGCCAATGACGACTATATCCACTGTAGTTGCATTTTTCGATACGAGGCGGGCCCCACTTGTTCATGTTTTCTCAATAGAATTTATTCTTCTTCCTCCTGTTGCGTCTCGCCTTTCAAAGCTTTGCCGACCCTGATACCGCGCATGTGATATCTCGTTATACAAGCAGAAAACTAAAGAAACATATTTTTATTATTTTATTAGAATAATGGTACCGTTTTATTCAGAACAAAAATCTCTACAGTGCGAGCAAAAAAAATTAAAAATTCAGCCATTTTGGCAATTTTTTTTTTTTTCAGTTGTGAAAGGGTTCAAAACGTACTAATAGCTGAACAGTGTTTAAAAAAAGAAAGGAAGTTGGAAAAGAAAACCACTTCATAACATATAAGTAGAATTATTGTATTGTGTAGCCTTATGGACTTTTGTGTTTTAATGTATTTCAGTCTAGGAAGATTTCTCCGCAAGCACTCGGCACATCAGGAAGCTGCTATAGAACGGCACCTCAGATATTAGTAAATCAGGCTCAAAGGTAAAGCTTGTACAGTACAGACTACTTATGACGTAAGTCGCAGGAGCCGCGAATATCCGCACTATAACCAAATCGACCTTTTTTGAAAGGCCGCAACTACGCAAAACGTGTTGAGCAAACAGGCTCGCGTGTCCGAGAATTGAAGCATGCAATGCGTGATGCTTACAAGCTTTTAAATTTCCGAATGTGAAAAAAAAAAAATAAATAACATTCAGAAATATGGGTTGCTAACAAAATGAACAAAAAGGAAAGGGGGTATAACAAAAACATCACGGAAATTACCCGCCTGCTTTTCTCAGACTGCCTCGATTATGCGCATTACACTGAATATTGAGTCATGTCCGGAATGTCCCAATCTGAAAAACACCAATCGTTCGATTTTACGGGCGCGCACCTGATTTCAAGACGTTGCAATCGTATCGCGAGAGTGCTGCACGTGCCACCCTGGTATTCATTAACTTTTGTGTATCCATCCTCGCCTAACGCACTCACTGCAAAAAGTTTCGTTGACTCTGTACCAAAAATCAACTTTGATTGCACGCGACCGCTGCCAAAATGCAACCAATGCCGATTAGGCCAGCCTGCCGTTCGGTAATTTGTCGCATGAAGTTTGCCCAAGATATGAAGGTTCGGCGACTAAAAGACCGCACTCAAGGACTGAACAGCACTGAACAAAAAACAGCATGCTTGATAGGAAATTCGTGTTCGCGGTTGGGAGATCGACAACACCAAAACCCACCGAGCTTATGACAGCGCACTGTCAGCAAAGGCGAAAGCTCGCATCACAAAGCCGTAAAATGTTTTAAATTTACAGATGAGGTTGTAAACGCGGTATCTGTAGCAAGCACGACATCTGTAGCAAGCCCCACAGTGCCCTTGGTACTAGGGTTTTTTTTCTTATTACTACAATAGTGGTTACGGACACCGGCGGCGGCGGATAACTATGGCAAGCGTGTGACCCAAGTTTCGATCTCATAATAAATAGTTTTCGCTGTAATATGCAATGTTATATGAACGGTTTCCCGAGCAACTGCGGATGATACGAACGCTCAAATGATCGCTGCACGTGAGCGGTGCAACTCGGCTTGTCTGTAGGAGGAAAGTCCGTTCACACTTGGTCTCGAAAAGAGTGCATGCAGTAAAACTCACCGAAATTTTCTTCGCTTCGCCGCCAGAATAGTAGCCGGAAAACGACGCCTCGAGGCCCACGTGAAAAAATTGGTCTGAGACCAATTTTTTCGGATTACCTTTCTGCTACAACTTTGGCTACACCGGCTGCGCTAGCTCTCAAACCACGTGCTGTAAACAACCAGCCGTACATTCAAGATGGTGACCATAGCATCGGCGGGTGCGGTGGATTGCGTCAGTGCAATCGCGAACTACCCGCGCAGCACGACAAAGCTCATGGCCTTGAAAAAGACACGTTCATCAAGGGTCTTGTTTAGGTTCAAACACTGCGGACACCAGAAAAAGAGCAGCAGTGAGTCGGCCTATCTTCAACCATCGGCTCAATCCATCGCCGCCCGTGCCACTTCGTCTGCTCGTGTCGTTTCTTCTCACGTAACTCCCGAAACAACAATTGTAAAAAGGTGTAAAGTGTTTCTTTTCAGTGCTTTGCATGCATAAATAGAACTCGGTGTCAATTTTAATGCTCAGGAATAAATTATCATGTAGCAAAGGTGGCGGCAGTGGCATGTATACGAGGGGCAGAATAAATGTGAACATTTTCGACGGACACGGATGTGGTACTGCGGCCACTCCAGCGTTTTCCCTTGAATTCTTGAGAGAATTCTCATGGATTGATTTTTTCGTATCGACATTGCGACGGGTTTTCCCTGCCGCTGAAGTGGCGAAGGTTTTCAATAAGTCTTGCCGCTTTCACCTCCTTTCATAGCAAGTCTGAATGAGTCTTACAGCGTAAGCGGCATGAGTGAGGAAACTGTGGCACTCTACAGAGATGCTACTGGCTTAGGCTGCTTTGGAGCAGCTTTTGCAGCAGACGAAAATGCTCTTTGGAGCAGCAAAACCGGCTTTCGGAGCAGATACTGCTCGAGTCAATTTTAAGACCCCTATTGTGTTCACAAAAAAATCCGTAAGCAGAGGCTGTGTCAAGCCGGTGTTCCGACATGTCTTGTCTACCTCAGAACTGTTCTATTCTAGCCTTGTGAAAGACAAGTCCGCTTGTCGAAACATTGGCCCGCCACAAACGTCTGTTAACGAATTTTTTCATCGCAAGGTTCCATCCACCCCTTCCTGCTGTTTTTTAAATACTGTGTTCATGACACTCAAATCATAGAATTACAATGTGCTACACACTATTCAAGCATAACAGAGTAAACAAGAAATTATATCACCGACAGATAACCTGACGATATTTAGAATACAAAGCCAAAGATAAAATTTAAAACTTCATTATAACGTGGCCGAAGACCAGCTGACTGTTGATTTTTCGAACACCAGATTGTCTCAGGCATGCTTGCAAGCAAATTCAGACGATCTTGAGACAGCATCACAAGCCCTATGGACGTCTATGTATAAGAACCTCTGAAATTTTCGACGCTGAGACTCCTCGGCGTCCTACTTTTTTTTTGGACATTCAGCTGGTATTCCAGGTATGAAACAGCCTTACCGTATTTAATCGCATAATCCTTGCACTTTTTTTGGTGGAAAACCGATGCAAAGTAGGGGGATGCGAGAATCACGTGGGGAAAACTTTACACAAAAACGTACAGAGCGAAAAAGAAAACGAAAATGCCGCAAATCGGGATTCTCACACCAGCAACTAACAGCAAGCTTTGAGAAGTACTTATTAAAACTTATGTCAAGAATAAAAGCACAGGTTCAACACAAGGCAAGATTTGAGACACAAAAAGTGCTAGCGAATAGTCGAGAATCAGAATACAAAACGCAAAGCTTGTGGGTGTTGCGGGCATAGCGGTAGCGTTTGTCACTCAACAGGAGCCCTCAAAAGGTAAGCGTAGGACGTCAGTATTGGGCTGATGGCTATTTAACAGAATCGTCTGCAGTTTCCTTCAGATGAAATAAAGTTTACCATCAATCCCAGTTTTAGGCACTAAGCAGGCCCAACGCGCCTTAGTGGCTTTCAGCTGCCGTCACCAGTAGCGAACACAAAACTCGTAGACTCCGAAGGGCCTACCAGCGGCCCTGCTGCCATTTTTTAGTGCATGATCTATCACTTTCAACTTGAAAGCAGCCATGTAGCTTCAGTATCGCCCCATATCGTGACAAGATTACGAACAAACATACAAAACGCGCCGCAAAGCACACTTGCTACTTTGGCTTGGATTGACTCTCTGTGCAATAATAGTACGCTCGATGCTTAAGAGATGGCGCCGAATGTTGCAGGCTATCATCATCAGTGGCTGGAAGGAGCCGACGACATTATTACGGCAGTTTTCGGGGGTGCGATAATTACTCGAGGAAAAAAAGAAAACGTATTTTTCTTGGGCGATGTAAGGTGTGCGAGAATTATGCGAGTGCGAGGATTACGTGAGTAAATACGGCACTTAAAGTCCCTGCCTTTGCTACGTCCATCACCTCGTAGGCTTAAACAAACGCTTTCAAGAACCGTTCGAGGTCGCAGTAATTTCCAAAGGTCAGCTTTGCTGCAATGCAAAAATGCTATGGGATGAGGAAGATAAAAAGATTTGAAGGGGCTGCCATCACCACGCAGCGGGGTGATGTCTAACAAATTAGCCCCGAAAATGCTCAAAAGCGTGATGGCAGCAATGCGGCAAACACGCAGGTGAAACTTAATCGCTTTGTGATAAGCATCTTCAGCTAACTGTTTGTTAGTGCATATGGCGCAATTGTTGGCATACTGCACACATTTAATCACTCACCCGCGCCGCCATACCCGCTGCCTTTCTGTGCGAGTCGGCTAAGCGGGCCGCACAAACGCGGTACTTTCGCAAACAAAATCAGCTCGCCATTGCCGCGCCCGTGTGCGATCAGGAACGGAGTGGGCATCAAGAACACATTTTTATGACAAACACATGCGTACGAAAGCGCCCCAAGTAGGAGCGGCATCAGCTATGTAGGCGACGTGCTGCACACAACTAAAAACAATCGGTCTCGTACAGTGACGCATCTTCTAGTTGCACACACGCATTGCAGATGTCCGGACAAGAATTTCTCTATTCTGCCACACCCTTCATGTTCTGCATCGTAGTTTCCACACGCTCCGTGTGATAAATCCTTAAATTATTCCACACTTTGTTGGTGTCCGCAGCGTTCATCACGCAACGCATATTTGCAAATGGACGTCGGCAGGCCCTCAATGTATTTATGACAGCCTGGGCGTGCACCGAAATGCCTGATAATTGTACTCTAGGAGGCATTAAAGCTATTTCAGACAGGGCTGTGGCAATTTGATTACTTGAGGGGAATAAAAAGCCATGAATCTTTTTTTGGACGATTTCCCAGTCACTAGAAAGTGCGAAAAATCGGGCACTCACTACTGCGTCCAAACCACAAATTGTCCAAACAGTAGCATTTGGCCCAGTTCGGCTTGGCTCGGGCTGCGTCTTACACAGCTGCACCGCGATCTCATTTTCAACAAGAGAACCTAAAGTTTCGTTTCTGAAAGTCAGAGCACGTCCTTTGGTGCAGGCTGCGCGCAGACTCGCCAAATTTTACGGAAATGTAGCAGTGTGTAGCAGCCAGGGCAATTTGGCGCAGTTTGGCGCAGCAACAGCATCACTGACTTTATTGAGAGGCAGGGAAAGCAGGAAAGTTCAAAAGAACATCATGGACTGCTTTTAGCAAGAAGTAATTGGCCCCAATAAAGTTCTTGTTTGTGTTAATAATCAGCTTTAACTTGCTTTTGGTTCATATGAATTCGGGATGATACGAATATTTTGCGTGCTCCCTTAGAATTTGTATCAAAGTGCTACTGTATATAGCAACTATTCACTGCCGATCTACTCATTCCGAGTATCGAAAAAAAAAAAAAAACTGAAGCAGCATTCCTCTAAAACAAAAGCCTTTAAATAGCAATTTTTCCGTGCTCTGCCACTAACCAGAATGCTCTGTCTGGGGGATTTAATAAACTGGCGAAATATTCAGTCAGTCGTGGCAAAACATGAACTCCAGCATCCCACATGACTTTCATCTTGGTTTTCTCCTCACCTTCTATTATTTATAAAATATTATCATGGTATGCTTGTGATCAAAGCATTGTATTCTGAAACATTGCTGATTTTTGCCCCGTTATATGACAGTTCCTTTTTTTTTTAGCAGATGCTTGTCATTTTTTTTTTGCTTTCTTGTTTTTTTACTTCTTTTTTCGTGCATGCACGCAAAAATCGCTATAATTGACTCACGTTTCACTTTGATGCACTAGTTCTCAATAGTGTAGCTACGCGTGGTATGTTTTTCTTTTTTGTTGTATTTCGACAGTGAAAGCTCGTTGATTCGAACTTCAATAATTCGAATTTATGGATAATTCTAACTGTAAGTTTGGTCCGGCCAAGCTCCATACAAGCCTATGAATTAAAAAGCCAGTTAATTTGAACGCGAGTAGGTTCCGCAGCAGATAATTCTAACTACGCGCCACCGAGCCGGCAGCTTGGCTAGTCACTCGATAGGGCGGCTGCCGAGTTACGAGGCGGCGTTGACAGGAAGTGGAGAGAAAAACGGAGAAACTGGCAGGGAGGCCAGAGTGCAGAAAATAGCGTCACTTACTCTTCACCCCCCTCCCCCCCACAATCTCTCTCTCTCGGCGGCTGCGTGCTCTACGTCCTACGTAACCTCCAAGATTTGTTTTTGTTTAAGCGCCAATCTCGGGACCTTTGAAAATCCTGCGTAGTTGTCGCTGTGAGACGACAAATGGCATGACCAGCTCACAGCAAATCGGGTGTGTCGTAGCTACGCCCAGCCTTCTCTGCAGTCTCTGTCTCGGGCGTGCGTCGTAAACCTCGGTTGTTGGTGCTGGGAGTAGCTTCCGACTGTTGCGATTCTGCTGCTCCGACTTGATGGCGTGTGCCCGCGACAAATACCGCGCCAGAAAACTTCAGGAGAAAGCTCATATCCTGCGGGAAGTGAACGCCGGACTCTTTCCTAAGCAAGATATCGCGAAAAGCATGTGATACTGAAAACGACGCTATTTACTTATATAAAAAATAGGAGGACTACTGAAGACGCCTTAGAGGCAGAAGTTGCGAGCAAAAGGAGGAGGTTGCAGCCCGCAAAGTATCCTGACCTCGAGAAAGCGCTTTTCATTTGGATAAAGGAAATGCGTTCGCAGGACATACCACTGAGTGGCCCAGTCATACTGGCAAAGGCAGCAGAATTCGCCCTGCAGCTAGACTATGACGACTTCGCTGCTTCAGATGGGTGGCTGCACCGTTTTCACAAGCGCTACGACCTCGTTTTTCGTGCTGTGTCGGGTGAAATGAACGCCGTCAACATGAAAATGTGTGAAGGTTGGCGCTCCAAAGTTCTTCAAGGCCAGCTGGAGAAATATTCTCCACAGGACATATGAAACTGCTTTATTTTTCAAATTGCTGGCCGCCAAAAACTATCACGTATAAAAGTGACAAGTGCACGGGAGGGAAGAAAAGTAAAGAACAGATAACTGTGATGGTTGCTGCGAACAGCCCATGGACCAAAGTATAATTATAAATTTAAAATCATTTTATCGGCGTCATATGTTGGAACGAATTATTTTGTGCAATAAGTACCAAGTGACGCTCCCAAGTGCACTACACATGCTTGTGCGTGCTTGGGAGCAAGTTACAGCGCTTACGATAGCGAATTGCTTTCACCACTGTGGCTTCAGCGCCGAAGCTCTCCAAGTTGACGAGCCACCAGTGCTTCAACACAGCGTCACCCCCCATGGCGGACGTTTTGGAAGACGTCTGCTTTGCGGACTATGTCGATGTGGACGCAAGTGCAATGGTGTGTGGAGCACTCACTGACTGCGACATATGTCAGGTGAGAAGTGCATAACCTGTCGCTGCCAGTGACGATGATGAGGAGGAGGACGAAGCACCAGTGCGGCACTCTGCTGCAGAAGTCATGGCCGGATTGAATGCCACCTGTCTTTTCATAAGTTTTGAAGAAGGCGGAGAAGAGGCCTTCCGCCAAATTCACTTGTTAGAGCAAAAAGTGCTGGCTGTCGCCTTTAAGGAAAGAAGGCAGACCATGATCACAGATTTAAAAAAAAAAAAAAAAATTGTGCCCTACTCGCAGTGTACTATTGTTGTTCACTTTCGCTAGTTTGAACTTTCGTTAAATCGAACTGAGGCGGCTCCGCCTTGCAGTTCAAATTAACAAGCTTTTACTGTATATGTTACCTTGTGGTGTACACGTATCCCGAAGGAGTACGGCCACCAGCGTGGGTCCGGTCTTAGCGAGCCGCAGGGCACGCGTTAACCGTCGCCGTGGTGAGAACACGATACTGCTCAAAGTCGCAACACTTTATTGTGGCAACACCAAACGCAGTACAGCCCGTTGCAAAAAGGCGCGGCGGGAAAGCAAGTAGGCTTATCCACGCCACGGGCACAAAGTACTACACAGGGTGCCACGACCACGTCTCCGCGGTAAAGGTGATGTGTCACTCACCTCTGCCTAAGGCCTCATAGCTGAGGCTGGCAGTATTTCTGAAATAAATAAATAGATAAATCTAATTATGCCCATGCTGTTGTGAACCAGTGCAATAATACCAGTGCACTTTCTTTGGTATGTTAGTTAAATGGGTCAAATAAAACTGACTGAGTGATAGATCATTCAATCGACGTAAGAGGCAACATCAAGTCTGACACCTCAGTACAGTTATAAGAATGCGAGTCATTGGCTACAATAGTTTTGAGTGAGAATAGCCAACGCTCCAGGGAAAATGTGGTGTGGAAATAAACAGATATGCTATAAATGTGCAAAGAAGACTCCTGTGGTAGTAGCTCAATGTGCCGTAATGCTCAATCATCGTTTATCAAATCATCTTACATTAATGAAGGAGAGTAAAAAAATCCCCCGACAATTACCATAATGCCTAATGCGAATTCTGAGCACAGCTTCACCTTGGAGCAAGGCGAACTGTGTTTGATGTCTTGGTATCGACTACACCATAAAGCATCATTTTTGTGAAGTAGGACAGCACCCACTACGCGATTGTTCATCTTTCTGCGGATAAACGCGATACCCATTTGTAAGGTATTATGTGAACTTTGTTGATGCTGCATGTGGCTGGTGACCACTTATCACTGAGCACTTTGCACTAGGTGAGAAGCATTAAACTCGTAGTAGAACAATTGGGATTGTGTGATGACTGGTTATTTCTTCTGCCATGCTATATCACATAATTTAACGTAATTCATTGGCCAACATGATGCCTGTGAAGGGTCTTTTTGCAGATGAACTAGCGTGGCTCTGTATTTGACTGTCATGACGAGGGGCCCAGTTGAAATCACATTCGACCCCCAGCATCTTTATCATTACTTCTTCATGTCTATTGGTTACAGCCATTAATGGCAATGCCACTCAGCACAGGAACAGGTGTCTACGAGGAAGACAGAACAGGCTGGTGGCAAAAATAGAGGGAACCAAAGTGACATACCTTGAGGCCCCTCTTGAATTCCTCAAGACACTTGCCCGAGCAAAATTGCCGGATGTCGGCACCGAAGCGCACGCAGTACTTCCCCAGCGACAGCTGGTTGACACTGGAGTGGCAGTGGGAGCAGTGGGAGCCGTTGGCGCTCTGGTACTTGCGCAGGCACTCCTCGGCACAAAACTCCATGGTTTCCCAGACAAGGAACGTTGGCTTCTGCTCGGTAGCCTCCACACACTGGTGGCACTGGACGCATATCCTCTTGGGACGCAGCAACTGAGCGTTGCAAATGCAATTTCAGATAACTGCCCTCTGCGGATAACTGTAGATAACATGTAGGGCAGATAACTGCCCTACATGCAAGATGACAGATGGCAACTGACTGGTTAGGTAGGATGAGCGCTACCAAATTTTGCTCTAATTTAGGGGGAGGAGAAAGTTAATGTGCGATTTCAGAACAAACGGCGGCTGCGCTGAGCCCACTCGCAAGCCTAGTTCTCAAGTGCGAGGAAAACACTTGGGAATATTTACAAACTCGGGGAAATGTGTCGCACATTACTGCCTCAGCTTAACCGAACCTTGGGATACTTGAAACGCCATTTACGTCATGCACCCCCTCACATCTAACTACTAGCATTTAAAACACTTGTACGTCCGAAACTTGAGTACGCATCCTTGATATGGTCCCTACATCAAGCATATCTCATCAATGCATTCGAAGCAGTCCAAAATCGCGCGGCAAGATTCATTCATTCATCGTACTCATATCACACAAGCGTATCACTACTGAAGGCACGATACGGCTTAGATTCATTGTCATCCCAGCGCCACATTGATTCACTAAACCCTTTTCACAAGTTCTATTACAGCTCGCTTCATCAGACAACCTACATCTTGGCCCCACCCCTACGCCTCTCCCTTCGTACTGGGCATCACTTACAAGTAACCCGTCCACGCAGCCACACTACTACCTTCTCAGCGTCCTTTTTCTGCCGTTCGTCGACTGAGTGGAACAGCCTCCCCCGTTCTATCGCTGATATCACCTGCCCATCATAACTTGCTGAGAAGCTCAAGCACTAATTTACTCTTATGTTTATATGTGGCTACTAATTATATGCATATCTGGTTGATGTACATAACTACAAATGTATATATATTGTTTAAGTATATTTTTTATATGTATAATTGTGTATTATCATTATGTATATATGTCACCCAATTGTAACCCCACCCCTTATGTAATACCCCCCTTGAGGGGGCCCTTAAGGAAATAAAAAGTGAAGACTTATTTTACCTTTTACTGCGAGAGAAATTATACCGACAGTATCACTGGGGTTTCTATCGTTGCGGTCATGTCACTCTATATCTGTCACTGCGAGGCCCACGAGATCCCCCTTCTTTTAGACCAGCCATCCAATGCTAAACAGAGAGGAAACAAGGTGGACGATTGGGCCAGTTGGTGTTACATGATTTAAGAGTACTATGTGGTAGAAAACACGGACGGGAAAAAGACAAGGACAAGCGCAGACTATCAACTGAAGGTTTATTCATCCCGCATTGCATATATAAATAACAACCAGGAAAAAAGAGAAGAAGAAAGACATACAGGAAGGCAAGTAGCATTTGAAAAAACGTCAGACTTCATATACGCGAAGCACGAGGCAAAAATCAGATGAATCACATGCATGCGCCATTTGCCAAAAATTGAAACTCTTTATCTAGGAAGGCAACCGATGGTTTGCTCAAGCAGTTGTCAGGTTCTTGGGCCATTCTCTTTGCTTCAACAATCATGTGCGCGTGATCATCTTTGTGTCTGTACAATACAACTGTATTTTTAAACAGCGCATGGCAACCACACCTACTGATATGCCGAGCTAAGAAGCCCTCGTTGCCATTGTGAACATTTTGTGCGTGTTCACGTAAGCGCTCGTTGAGGCACTTCCCAGTCTGCCCAATGTAGCACGCACCACGTGATAGCGGAGTCCTGTATACTACATTGGTGACACATTGGACAAACTGCGCTTGCCCTTGTCTTTTTCCCGTCCGTGTTTTCTACCGCGGAGTACTCTTAGAGAGGAAACACCCCACCTGTCTTTAGAGGGACACTAAAGTCAACTATTAATTTTCCATGACTATTATTTTCCGTGAAGCCGATATTAATTGTTGAAATGGCAGTCGAGAAACCTCATAGTGTTACTTTTGTGCCAAAGAAGGGCCAAGTTTGAAATAAAATCACATTTTAGTGCTCCGTATCAGGTTAGCGCACTTTAAATTACCCGCCTCAAGAAGCGGATTGACCGGACCGTCTTACGTCACTGTTGCCGTGCACAACCTTGCCCGGCTTTACTGCGCTAGTAGCAGCAAACCCAAAGCAGCGGGAGCCACAGATGCAGCAACGAACATTGATTTATTTCCCGCTATTAGCTTCCCGATTGCAGACGCTTTTGATTCAACTGCGCCCCGCTAGATGGCACCACCTGTCCCATGTAACTACGCGAAAATAGAATTTTAGAACCGCTCACGCCATTCTCCATAGTAACGTCCGGCGGTTCTTTTTCCCATGAATCAAACGGAAACGAACAAGCAGCATTTTATTGCGTCTCTTAATGCACGGAACATTTATTTAGTGGATTTAGATCGATTACTAGTGATTAATTGTAGACAATTCGTCTGATGTTATTGGGATCATTTTGAAAATGTCCAACTGCGGCGTTTATGTTCTTGTGCATTTACTTTAATTTCTCTGTAAGTAGGGCACTGTTGTTGATAATATTGTCATTTTAGATGTTGTCATACATTGAGCTTTCACTATACCGTAAATTTTAATCTGACATTAGAGTCCCTTTAATAGCATCAAAATACGAGAGGGGGGGTCCTTCGAGCAGAAACTGCGACGTTTGATTGTTTGCATGCGCAATTGTTTCTGACGCGTGCATTATCTTGCTATCTCGGCGGCTGTGAGAACGAAAAGAATGTGCGAAGAGTGTTCCTGGAGCGACCGTACTCTCTTAAACCAGCGCTTCCTCAATTTTCAAGAGATTGGATCAGAGAGTGAGCTGCCAGCCTCACTTCGTACAACACTGCAATCTGTTTTGATCGCGTTCATGACGTTAAACCCCACATATCAATCAATCACTTCCCCCTAGTGATGAAACTGACTGTTTTTTCTTTCATTTTGATTGACTGGCGATAAGACCAATTTTTCTAATGGTGCTAAGAAGGCGTGAGAGCACTTTTTTTTATTTGTGGCTGAATTTGCAGTTCAATTTCTATGTGCACTGGTTTGCATCCGCCGCTTTGGAAATCAAGGTGGGCGACGAGCCCTTGGACATTTGCGAGTAGCAGTTGCACCACATCGTGCCAGACGGGCTTTACTTGGATATTTAGACTTTATGATAGGCATAAAATCAAATCTAAATTCTAAAACTGTTCCGAAAATTCTGCCCCAGATAATGATAGCAACCTCAAGCTACGGGCTCCCTTTTCAATAAAAAATGTGCGATTGTTAAGCAAGTAAACAGGGTACACATAGCCCAACATTAAGAATAATGAAAGTGTGAAGAAATTAAAGATACAAATATCATTAGTTAACTGTGAGTGTGTCTGCCACTACGTCTGTATCAACCATAACCGCATACATTTTTTTACCCTATTTATTCAAATCTAGGCCGATTGTTTTTTTTTTGTTTTTTTATCAAATTCCAGGGTTGGCTTAGATTCAAAGATTTTTAAAACACGCCATTTTTCATTGAGAAAAGTGGTGCATAACTAGCACCACATAGACAGTATTGTAGCCATTAGTAGCCGAGCCAACACCTGGCTAAAGTACACACACGAGGCCGCAAATTTGACCTTTGCGGCCAGTGCTGCCGCGGGCTATTTGTAATTTCAAGTCGCGCTTCGAAAGGCCTGTGTGTGACGTAGCTCAGAGGTGCCACACAGGCGGCCTCATTGTAGTGCCACTTATGAAAGGAAAGTTGTCCTAGCCATGGAGTCATTGTCTAATGTTCAAGCCGGGCGTGACGTTGCAGCGGGCGAAAAAAATCTCACTGCTGGAGGGGCTGCAGCGTGGGCAACATCCCGGGAACTTTGATTGTAGTTCTTCTAATAACTGTGGCACATCTAATGCGCTTAACGGCACCGAGCATTGCAGGCTGTTTGAAGACAGCAACAAAGAAGTCACTGATGAGGGAAGCAGCAACTACGATTCGGAATGAACGCAGCATTGGCAAGCAAGGCATCGTTATGATCGATAAATACAGTCGAACACGAATATATCGGATCCACATATATTGAATTTCGAAGTATATCGAACTCGTAAGTTATCCTCTTGAAATTCCTGTGTAAAAGTATAGAAATTCGCACATTTATATCGAACGGTATTTTTACCCCCTTCAGATACAGTCGAGCCCACATATAACGGCCCCACTTAAAACGAACTTTCGCTTAAAACGAACAATATGCGCGTGATCGTAAAAATATACATTGGTTCGTGGCACAAAATCGCACTTACAACGAACGTCTCCGAGCCGCTGATCAGTTACAGCGAACAGAGTCAGCGGTCTGCCGACTTCCCAGGAAACCAATTTCGACCACCAATGAGGCATCGGCGAGGTGCCCATACATTCTTATTGTTAAACGCCGACTCTGCCTCCGCGACCCTCTAGTTGCCGCTCTCCCCAACCCATGAAGGAAGGAAAGTTGTTTCCTTCCTCCATGCCCCGACTGCTTTTTGTTACGCATCCCTCCGTCCTTTGTCCGCCCGCTACTCTGAGCACCCCGCATCGCCAGACGAGGCCCGTATTTTCACAGTGCCACCAATCTTTAGAAGACCGGCCAGCCATCTACCCTGTTTTTGATCACTGGTACTGTCATTGGCGTCGCCGGGCTGGAGTGACCAGACCATTTGCCAACATCGTCGGCCACCGATTGTATCTGATAGTCTGCTCTAGTGCACGCTTGTACGCTTCCACACTGAGTCTGATAATTTGCGAGTCGTTTCGTGTTTAGGCCTTGCTCTCGCTCACTTCGCACTCGAATCAGCATGCCTACCGCGCATGTGCGGAAGCGCCAATACGGCTGTTAATGTGCGCAGAACGAATCGCGAAATATCGAAGTTTGTGAGGCCATGCAAACCCACCGGCGCAACAAAACGATTTTTTGATCACGGCCGCCGATTCTTCGAACATTGCCGCGCGCACTTATCCCGGCGGCCATGCTTTGACTTCTGCACACGCAGGCATTCTTTCCAAGTTTGTCTATGTGCGAGTTTTGCAGACCTTTCAAGCAAGCTACCTAACCTGCCTCCTTGGTTTTCAAGTTTGCCCTCCCGCCACATCCTCCCCTCTCTTTATCGCAACTCCTTGCCCTTCTCTCGCAAGTCTGCATCCTCTCTTGATCACAACCCCTTCACCAGTCTCCACCGCTTCGAGACGCCCGCGACACTGGCTCGAATTAGTTTTGTTTTCGAGTGGAAACGGGCCCAGAGCTGTTCCACGCGTTCTGGCATGTGTGTCGCATGTACGCGTCTTGCTCACTCTTGGTGTGCGTGTGTGGTCATGATGGCCGACGGGAAGACTAGCGCGCTTTTTCCTGTCGCTCAACAAAACGTCTAAAATGTGACCACTTTGCTTGAGCGTAATCCGTGCATTAGGTGCCGCGTTGCGGAGCACTTGCTCATAGCTGTTGACCACCTGGCAGCCAACTTGCCGCTTCGGGCGTCCCGGTAGTCAGCTGTGGAGATGGTGATTATTCCGTAGGCAGCGGTGACGGCTACATGCGCGCGACGCTGTTCTCGCGAGGCCGACTTCGTGGACGACGGGCCCGATGCTGAGCCTGAAGTTTCCGAACAGGGCACTGCGGCCGCGATTTGAAAGAGTGGGTGGGACATCTGTTGCGATGGTTCAATTACGGCCGATGATGATGCTGACACTGCGGAACCATACACAGATTGGGGCATTGTGAATGAAGTACATGGCGAGAGCGATTTGAAGGAATTGGATTGCGAGAACGACGAAACTTTGGAGCCAGTGCCTCATGCAGCTTATGCCACGGGCCTCGGCGAACGAGCACTCTGCCGTTTTAAATGAATTCAAGACCGCCCTTATCGCTTCTGCTTTTCGAAGCACAGGCATCACGGACTTTTGGGGGCAAGAAAAGTTTGTGTTTTCACTCGCAACTTTCTTTAAAAGCTGTGTTTCATTTACTACGAACTTCGGGATACAGCGAACAGATGCCGCGTCACACTCAGGTTCGTTATAAGCGGGCTCGACTGTATATCAGACGCCGCGCAAGCTGGAAGGTTCACTTCAGTACTCGCCGCGCCCGGCGACCTCCGCGCGGCATTACGTTTCTGTCGAAAAAACGAAACACTCGAAAAAAGTAAGAGCGAGAGGGCTCGGACTGCACAGTCTGCAGAGCGGCTTTTCTGTTCTCTTTTTTTTTTTTTTTCGTTTCACTCTCTCTCTCTTTCTCATGCTTTCTCCGCGTACGCGTCAGCTTGGAGAGCAGGAATGGAGCCGACGTCCTCCTTCTTTTGCTTTTTCTTTTATTTTTTTGTAGGTCTTATGCGAGTTTTGATCAGCCAACCACAGCCCGCGCCTTTTGTTGTTGCCCTCGCAGGTGGCCCATAAGAGACCATTGCCTCGCGAGCACTTTGTTGCTTCCATTGTCGCGTTGCCTACCTACCACCGCATGTGCAGCATTCCCCTTTTTCTCGCAGCGGACTCCATGAATTGTGGACTGCTAGTGTAGCTATGGCCAGCGTCAATAAGCGCAAGACTCTTGACTTCGCGATAAAGTTGAAGGCTATTCAGCGTGTTGAGGCGAGCGAGAAATGTTAGACTGTCCCAGGCGACTTCGGGATGCAACGGAGTACTCTGAGTACCTTGTTGAAGAACCAAGCAGATATCAGGGTAAAGACGGCGAAGCAGCGAAAGTCGGGAGCCTGACATGTGTGTGCTCCTGCCCACGGGAATGTAGAAAAGGCACTCTATGCCTGGTTTTTAGAAGTGCGCATGAACATTCCGGTTCCCACTGCACTCAGTGAAGACAACTTCACCGACAACAGCAGGTGGCTTACCCGATTCAAGCAGTGCTACATCATCGTTGGCAAAACCATTTCTGGCGAAAGCGAAGCTGTCAGCAGCCAGGACATCCAGCAGTGGATGACGAAGGAGTGGCCGGAAATCTCCGCGAAGTTTTCTCTTGCAGAGATCTTCAATGCCTAGCGAGACGTGAAGATGGACACAGTGGTCAACTGCTTCTGCAAGGCAAGCTTCGAGACGACGAAACTTGCGGAAACCGGTGAAGAAGGCGACCACGAGCGCATAGATGATAGGTTTCGCGAGTCTTTGTCACTCTTTCCAGCAGCGATTCCACATGAAGTGTCTGCGGGCGATTTCGTGGAAGCGGACTGCAATGTCCAGGCCGCTGTTGCGAGCCTCGCTGACGAGGACATAGTAGCTGCAGTCGCAGGGACCCAGGATGCCCAGGCCGACAGCTAGCGTGACGAGGAGGATCGTTCAGACGAGACGCTGGCTACAGGTGTGTACTCCGCCACTGAAGTGGCGGCACCGTTCGGCGTCGTTCGCCGTTGTATCGGTCACGTAGAGGGAACCGGGTTATCGCGCCTAGACAGCTTTAATAAGATCGAGATTAGCGTTTACAGCTTCATTCGAAAAACAAAGAGGCAGGCCAAGATAAGCTATTTTTTTCACGCAAATAAATCATTCTGTTGCGGCTTGTGTGGTATTAGTTGTTATTCTTGAATGCGCCTATTGTAGGTGATGGCGCCCTACAGGTAAGCTCTCAGGGCCTCTAATTTTTTTAATCAAATTTTTCATATATCGAACTAATTCGCAATCCCCTTCGAGTTCGATATATCCCTGTTCGACTGTAACTAGAAGCAAGGGAGAAAAAAAGCGACAAAGAAGCACAAAAATACCGGCGGCTGAATGTATCTCGAGTTATATGCATCATGAACGAACTGCTTTGTTTCATCGCCATGCTCAATAAATGTTCTTGTGAACGCCGTCTTCAATGTTTTAATCGGCCTACATTCGCAGTAAGGTTTTTTTTCTTTTTTCCGAGCTTCGGACTTATAATCGAGGTCAGCCTAGATTAGAGTAAATACAATACTTGTCATTTTTTACTATCGCAACATTTGTATCTTCACTAATTACTCTGAATTACAAAATTGCTTTGACACTTTAAATAATCCACAGAGCAACGAATGGCTCGTTGTTTGAGCTTTGTTCACAGCCTCTCACTGTACCTGTGGAACACCTTCTTTGAACTATACTGCAGTAGGTTCACTCTAGAAGGTTGGCCTTAGGCATCCAGAATCGCTGACATGATCAGAATCTTAATACATGAAGCCCTATAGAGTGGCAAGTTTCTGCAATTCATAATTTGCACAGGTGCACAAACGGCTGGATATGTTAGGGAAGAAATTTCAATGAGTGTGCTGCGTGACACGACAATTGCTAGGACAGTTTACCTTTTGGTGCTTGTCCAGGCAATTGGGAGAACACAGTGGTATGCATGGCCCAAAAGAGGAGTAATAGCCCACTCCGTCAGCATGTTCCTTCTGGCATACAGCGCAGCGGTCCCGCTCTGCAGGCTTTTTTGGGGCCAGCTTCTGTTTGCTTCGAAAAGCCTTGAAGCAAACATCCGAGCAAAGAAACTGTGTCTTGCCCTGGTAGAGCACTTGGTAGCGAAGGCCTTTTACCTGTAGAAAAATGCTTGTTTCAGTATGAACAGTGAACAATTACCAGCCACGCGACTCTGCTAGTATTGCTTTAGCCATGTGTACTTATCACTGAAAACATCTAGGCAAAGTGAAAGGCTCTTGCACTCATACACAGTGGAGCAATTACATCAGCTGTATGCATAATAGGCTTTCGTGAAGCCACAACTGTTACAGCTAGAGTTTAAAGTTCCAAGTTTTAGGTAGTGTGTGCAAGTTCTCACAACTTACTATGTCACATGGGAAGCCCCAGAAATGTGGATTGACCTGATCAAAAACGTAATCAAATACATCTGATGACCCACTGGTTGCTGGGATACTGTCACTACAACAGGTAAATGACTCTGACAAACCAGTTATCGCTGGCATCAACCAGCACGGTTACTGTTAGTTAGCTATTGTACCAGGGTTTTCTACAACTTGTGGCAAGACACGTATAGGCCAGGCGGGTTGTATTAATGACCGGGCAGTGGAGCATTCAAGAGCTGTTAAGAGTGGGGATACTAAATTGGCAGAGCATTCCGCAAGTTGTGGGGCATATGAGCCGTAACTGAGTGAAATAAAGATCTTCTGGGCTGAGGTAGGGATAAGATGGCAAGGAAGTTGCTAAAACCATAATTACTAGAAAACGAGAGAGCATGAGCATCAGCGACAGGTCAGTGAGGCGTTAGACAGCAGACGGTGAGTATCAAAATTTTTTTCTGAAGTGAGAATGTGTTTGACCATGCATTCGACTGCATGTGCAAGTGCGTTTTTTCTGGTTATATTTGGGGGCAAAGCCTCAAATAAAGTTAGATGAAGGTAGCGCTCATCCTGTCCTCTCGTTCTTGTGAATGTTTTTTGCGCTCAATATTCCCATCGCGATTACTGGTTGTTGCAATGTTGTACCACGGCCGCAGGAAAAAAGAGAATGTGAAGCCTGTTGTGTCGCGTCACCGTTAATGAGCGGCGTCTGGGCAAAGTTGACAGTTTTGGCCGCTTTTTTTGGGGAAGGGCGCTGACACTCCACCCACCAAAGTAGATGACACTTTGTGTTTCAAAATTTGTGCAAGTCCATGTGCTTGTCCATGTGTGTGATCGTGTATGTGGAGGGGAGGGGGGTAGCTTGCCTCATGTTTCCTTTGGCGCACGCACGTGTGGCAGGCAGTTTTTTAGTGGTGTGACGCCGCAAAGCTGTTCTGTGCCGCTGAGTAGCTCAAACGTGAAAAAAGGGCGCTGCTTTGAAGTATAACATGTTCACCTGCGATCTACAGTGTCAAGAAGTGTATCAGGATGCATATTATTCGTAATAGAGCACTTATTTTTGCCACAAGGGAGTGCTGAATTAGATGCATGCTGCCGCCTCAAGACAAGAGCATCGAATCACCGTGCCAAGCGTTCCCTTCCGCGAAACGTTCACACAGTCCGTCACAAATTCGCCTAAAGTGACTGCTGAAAGGCCAAAGCCATTTTCCTTTACTAATTTTTCTTCTAATCCTATGCCCTCCCCACTCGGAAAGCGTCCTGCAACACCTTATATTGTTTCCCACTGGCCACAATGAACCTCCTTTGACCAAGTGACGATGCCATGTAATGGCGTACTATGTGACGTCATGCTCACAGCTGCCCTTTGCAAAGACACATGGTGCTGTTTTCAGCATTACCTAATCCAAGAGTTCCTGAACCTTCTGGATTTTGGGAACCCCAACAGCTTCTACGGAGTGCCACAAAGCACCCAAGCTTCCCTCAATGCCGATTGTTTATTTTCTAGATGCAATTGTCGTAACAAGACGCTCAAAAGAACCTGCTATGGCCTGAAACTCACAAACACACACATTCAGACTGACAGGAAACAATTCACTGGCTACACAATGAAATACATAAAGTATCAGATGAAACATCAGTCGGCAAAATCACTCGTATTCTGAACATCCCAACCACAGAAAAGCGTAATGTCAAAGAGATACGTACAACCGAACAAACTGCACAGGTGTTGCCAGATTTTTTTGAAGAGCCACTTTCTCTGGCAGGGCTTGCTGGCTTTTGATCAGCTTCAGAAGAATCTGAAAAGGAGATGTGCAGATTACGGAACTACCCAGTGCCATCACAAATTCAGGTCTTGCTAGCACAATGCAATGTGGTCAACTCAGAGGGAGATATACTCTAAATGCAATGAAAAAAAATTGAGAGCTTGGTACTTACAGACATAGTGCAATGTGAACAAACCTGGTGATAGCTAAGCAAAGAAAAACGATGGTGCAGATGTATGCTTCATCTTTGTCACTTCTACAAAGATGGCACATTTTTTTGGTGCATGTGCCCATTGTGAAATTTACTTAACTTGTTTCCCATTCTGCCTTATAGATCACATGGTTGTTTATACCTCCTTTGCTTTTTTTTTTCTCACACAGCATTATATGTTGTACTGCGCATAATACAACTTATTCGATACTTGGTACTTTATTCTACTCTTTCGAGTCCTCTCCATGAGCTGCCATTTTAATTACTAGCATCAACATGTACAAACTGTTCCAAGCCAGCACTCTCTTTCGGAACAAAGAAAATGAGGGGCAAGACTATCCTCGAAATGTTCACTTAAAGAGGAGCACAAAAGCGTGGAACCATGCATTTTAGTGTTCTGTATGTTCCCAAAGTGGTCTGAACCTGCCAAAGAGAGTGGCCTCGTTGCTTCTTTAGAATACAATTCAAACTGATGCAAAGCAGATTCTGCCCGAATCTCATTTCATGAATAATAGGTAGTATGGGAACTTCAAAATTTTACCACGACAACATGCTGCAAGATTGAGACTTCTAACAGTTCAGAAGTGTACTTTACCAGTGCAAATCCAGCTTAACAACACATTGTAACAATATATTGTGCCATCTTCTGAGCGCAAAGTTATCGCCGAACAAATGAAGGACAATATCTTTTGTGCCCCTTTAAAAGGGCCCTATAAAACTATTCAAAGTAACCATCGAATGACCTTACTATTGGAGTTTACTGCCTCACGAATTCATTGCTGCAAGGTTTCTTGAATCCACCAAGTACAGACAGAGTTGGTTTTATCACACGCCTTAAGCGCTTTTTCTCCTCTTTCGTCCAAACAAGCACACAAGAACACACGCTGAGGTGAATGACGAAAGTGCAAGAAACTATGTCAGCTCGCATCATGAGCTCCCGCACGCTCTTCCCACTGATCAGTCACATCCTTCCCGCTGATGATGTAGTTGGCCCATTGGAGAATAGAGACTGATTTCTAGCCATCTTTGAAATGCGATTGTAAATTCCCCGCTGCATACAGCGCGAATATATTTGGCCCATGCGTTCACAGGTGTCTGAGCAACAAATCAGCAGCATTTACTGACCAATTCAAAAATACTGCAGGGCTCTTTTCAAGGCACTTGCTGCCATTAACCTCGTTCTGAAATTGAGTGTCACTGAACAAGCACTATTTCATAAATGCATACCAGTGTAGCTAACCAATCACAGCTGCATTAAATTTGACTGACCTTTAGAGTCTTGCTGTAATCTCTCATCCATTGCCTCAGATGTAATGTCACTTGCATTTGATTCCTGTAATGCATGAGAAGCCCGGGACAAATATTAGAATACTCACAGAGTTGCAAAATACCAGCAACACAGCACGGTCAAATCTGGATTTACTCAGGTGAAACTGTTACAGATAAAATGAAGTGGCTGTGGTTAAATTGCAGCTGCGCAAGTAATTTCGTGATAATGACGTGAGAGCGAAAGTACTTCAGGCTTGGTTGCCACAGGGCGAACAAAACAGCAGCATTATAACCACATTGGAGCGGTAATGCTTAAAGGCTAAGAAAGTCGACTTCAATAAACACTGAACCATTTTGGCAATTCTAAAGCTGGATATCCCATAAGGCATAGTAGCATAGCCAGAATGGTAATGCCCATGATCAGGCAAACTAGCTTGGTTTCTGCATTACACATGAACATTCTTTCATTGTTTTAGATCATGGAGAATGGAGGTGTGGCTTTCTAAAGTTGGGCACAACTTAAAGCCAACCCCTCCCCTTTCGCCAGCTGGATAAACGAGAAGCAGCAGCCTTTGAGACTACAGCCTCACCACCAGATGCTACTGGGGCTAACAAGTAAATAATCAAAACAAAAGAAGCCCCTAAAAAGCAGGAACACTTTTACGAAGACTAAAAGAAGCAGAAATTTTATGTATTTTCTCTTTTGAAAATATTTTAATTAAAATAAAGAATATCGCTCAAATACGAAGGGGAGTTGAAAAAAAAAATCCCTTTACATTATTTTGTGCAGCAAAAATATGCCTGACTACGTATGGAAGTGCAGTTCGTGACCTGATAGCAATATTCTAAACACTGTTTCCGGGGTACCCATCTCCGTTCAGTTGAATGCACGTTTGCCAGTGCACAATTAAGGTTACTTGTTCATTCCACCAATGTATATTTCACTTCAAAGTTCAACCACTAGTCATTGAAAAGCACATTTGTGGTGGAAGTGATGATCACTAAAATGACTATATTTGCTGAGCAAATACACATTAAGCCCAAAAACACAAGCAACTGGAAACTTTTACGAGCAACTTGGCAAAAAAAAAAGATGCCCAAATTCGTTTATTATAGGCGTAACCAGCAACTCCGAGCCCCACTCATGCATTTGAAATTGTTTCCAAAGGCAAGGTTTTCAGTCATTCAGCTCATGACCTCAGTGTGGTGAGGGCTTGTGAGGAGGAAATGCTGACTTCTAAAATTTGAATCCAACTGTAGATGAAACTATTGATACGGAGAGGTTCTGACCGCAAGGGCACTTGGGTCATTTCCTTAATGGAAGCCATGACTGACACCATTAAGCGCTAAGAAAATATTTACTGCAAAAATACACCAGGCTGATAAAAGATGTATTGCTCTGATTTAATGCTAATTTAAGTTGAACACAGCAAGTATAAGTTAATCAACATCATCATCATGATCTACAGACTACCGCGCACAGAAGAAGGAGTGAAATCTGTAGTGTTCTGCCACACATGACGTTAACAGCAGAATGCCAGTACAATGTTTTGCTTACTAAGAACAAGTTGTAGGGACTCGGGCCGCACAATTTTTTTATAGCACCTACCAGAAATTTGAACAGAAGCTCATGGGTCTAAACCAAACAATAAGATATTTTGTGTATATCACCTGTGTAAGACATCAAATCAAAGAACAGTTCTTACTTATTCCTTGGGTTTTATTTATAGTGTAATGCAAACACTACAATCAGAGAAAAAGCTTCTTTCTTTTTTTCTTTCCATATGAGAGCTGCTACATTTAAAAAAAAGAAAAAAAGATTAATGGCCAGTCATGCAAGCAGTATTAGTACGGCATCATGCCCTCTAGACCACTAAATCACAAGTCAGATGACTAGATTATTGTATACCTCAGACAGACTTTTAGTGAAAACACACCTATACAAAATGGCAAATCATTCAAAGGGGTACTGACACGAATTTTAGAAGATGGCTTACTCTGCCATACATGTCTCCTGAACACAGATGGCTCTGACCAAGTCTGAAACTTTGGAAATACAGACATTTTATTTTGATATTAAAGCCAATTTTCGCATGGCGCACCTGCTATAGTCGACACGCGCGACAACAGATGGCAGCATCACTGGCGTTGCATTCATGCACCAGCATGGCCAACTGTGATGTCACCAGGATCTACAGCATACATCACGGCTGCTTGAGCCATGGAGGGGTGCGACCAAGGAAACTTCACAATATCTTGCATGAGCGTACACTTGCAAGCTCACTGTATCGTAATATCATGGTACAGTAGGAACCAAAAGGAGCGTTTAAGGTGGTGGTTCCACTGTCGCAGTCTTGCCAGTAATGCCGAAAAGGACACCAGACACTAAAAGAGTGGGAAGCATGCCGTGATGGTTCGGAGAAATGAGGCGTTCAGCAGGGGCTTTTTTCTTTCTCCTCTTCAACAACACCTATATCTCCCCCTCTAAAATTCATGCTCACTTTTCCGCATTTCCTGCAGCGCTGGGCTACTCACGCGAGCGAAAACAATGGTGCTGGAAACCACTAAGTTTACTTTTGGTTAGCAGGCTGTCGACCAGTTCTGCCTCCCTGGCCAGCTGCTCTGCATGACACTCAGTGGCGGAATGCACGGCTGGCTAACAAACTGTCTCGCAGAAGTCACATCCCAATAAAACCATGAGACATATCCTTCAATGCACATGTGTAAATAATTTCCCGCTGTCGCTTACTCCTGCGTCATTCAATGCTGGCTACTGTTTAGTTGAGGTATTGGAGGAGCTGTGTCGTATTCTCGTAATGTCTTTCCGTAGCTTGCAAAAAACCTACATTATCATGCCTACGACTCCGATAGAAGTCGGCAGTATTGACTAAATAGATAAATAAATATTCTCGAGCCAAACAGCGGTCATCATAAGGAAATCATGTTTTCCTTTAATCTATTACTAGTTAGTAGTCATTGACTCGGACCATTCTCTAGCACGCCACTAACAATAGTTGTCTCTTGAAAAGGACACTTCCACTGATACACACACGAAAAAAAGGGCGGAGGAAAGACCTAAGGGGGGAGGAGGGATGCCCCACCTCTTTTGTACCACCCGAACTTGTGCCGACCCACCAAATTGGTTGAGGAGGGGGCGCAGAAAGTGTCGCGATTCGGTGAAACGAAGCGTTGAGCGGGAGTGGCTTCATTATGCATAAACCGCTGCCAAGCTCATACGACGACTGAATAGTGGTCATCAGTAAATGAGTTAAGAGTAAAGGACATGGTCACGTAAGGATGCAACGTCTCATGGTTCGCTTCTGATGCACCATATACGATAAAGCTCGTCATTTAATCTCACATTCCGGCATTGTTTGTGAGGAACTGTCTGTTACGAAGTGTAGCTGCCCAGGCAGCCTACGTGAGTGGTTTGCAGCGTGAAAGAAGTGCAAAGCAGAAAACAGGGACAAGTAAGCGAGAGTTTCTAAAGAAGCAGAGAGAGAGGGTTGTTTTTGAAAGAGAGAAAAAGAAAGCCCCGTTCAAAGTTTCGTTTCACCGAATCGCAACACTTTCTGCACCCCCTCCTCAATCAATTTGGCGCGTAGACACAAGTTCAGGTAATACAAGGGAAGAAGGGGGATGCCCCACCCCCCTTGTACCACTTCGGTAGGTTTCCACGAAAATGGGCAGAGGTAGGTCCACGTATTGAAAGAATTGCCTAATTTGGATCACTATAATTAAGAAAATGTAATGCGTAAAAAGCATGAAACGGCACATACAGATAGGGAATGATGTTTTCTATGTACGTCCCAAAAATGAACCTCCTCTAGCAAATGGCCAGTCTACAGGTAAAGTTACTAAATTTGTGTTTTCGAAATTTGATTAACAATAAAGTAGAAGTTTTACATAAATTTGCTACGTTGAGGAAATAGATAAATATGTCCTGAATGGGCTGTGCAAGAAACAGCGCTGTAACTGTGGAATTTTTTTTTTTTTTTTAGTGGCCAGAACTGAGGCACAATCACCCCAGACCGCGTAAATAGCACTTTTTCTTGGCTTGCCATTCCTTAATAATAGCTGTTGACTCGATTTTAATAGACATATATGAAACGCGCAAATGTTTGGCTTCCTCACTCACATCTTCCAGTTTTAAATTTTTATACGCAGCTTTGTTTGCATTAGCCATGAAATGCTTTGCACTTAATATCAAGGCACTCAAGGAACAAGAGGAAGACGACTTCTCTTTGGCTATGCTGTACGTCGTTGTGCCTGTGTAATGCCAAGTGACGACCACAGCACACGATTACAGCATAGAACAATCCGGCCCCATAGAGTGCTACGCACTTAAAAAATAACCTTTGAAAATGCTTCTGCCAGTACCCCTTTCAAACGCAGAGGAGAACACTAAAAGTTAACATGCAGGCATACAGTGCACATTCATTCACAGTGAGAATATGGAGTACAAAACACATACCCCATCACCTTTGGGTTCCGTTTTGGTAGCACCTTTCACATCTCCTTTTGCCTGCCCTGACAGTCTTTCAGCTATGGCATGCATAATAGATAACTTGGAAATTTTCTTGGACTTCTTTTTCAAAGTCCTACGTGGAGTAGATGACGATGTTGAGTCTTCTGAGTTTGTTTCCTTACTCTTCATTGAGTCTGACCCTCTGCAGTCGGGAAGCTGGAAGTCTTCACTAAGCTCTGAAGGCTCGGTTCTTTCCTCGTCTATAATCGAATCCTGCTGGCTGTCTCCACACTCCAACGCATCACTGTTACCCTTAGAGCTGCTCTCCATCATACTAACATCGCCTTCGGAGGAAGGCTTTTCTACCATCCTCCCTTCATCTACGGTGCCGCTCTCACTTGTGCCATTTACAGACTTCACAGCATCGTCTTCCTCAGTTGCACCTGCATCAAGACGGCCATTTGTCATGCTGCTGTTTTTCAACGTCGTCTCATCCAAGGAGCCCGAGTCATCTGCTTTAGTTTCTTCGTTGTCCTCCGGCTGCTTGATTGTCCCATCCTTGGAACATTCACCGATTAATTCACCATTGGCAGTTGACGATTCACACATTTCTACATCCATGTTGTCATCTAAAGAACAAGGAAACAATACAAAAAGGCAACAAATAAAAAACTAGCACCCACAGCAGAACAGCTCTGTTCATAGCTTCCAGACTTTTGCAAAGTACTTTATACGCGTTTTTTTTTTAACATGCACGGCACGTGAAGGGTTATCAAGACACAAAACTATCACATTATTCAAGAACCCTCTCCTTGGAATTTCTACCTCCTCTTCAATCGGTAACCAACTACATGGCCGGCGTGGAGCGCAATTTGTGACCGAAATTTCGGTACTGCGAATGTGAACACTACTGGACGCCTGTGTTCACGTACTCTTTATAATACAGACATCGTGAAACGCACTTTATTCTGTCAAACTAGCAGCCCTCAGTGACACTGTGTTGTCTAGGGTCGGGACTGTCTTCGCAATAACGACAGACCGCCAAATCTTTAACCAAAGGGCTTAAACGACATTGCCAACACAAAAACAACACAAGTAATTTTACCTTAAGGTTAAGTAGCGCAGTTTTCAACATGGACAATAGGGGTAGAAGGACACGACCCTCTTGTCCATGTTAAAAACTGCGCTACTTAACTTTACGGTAAAATGATTAATCACCAACTAGCCCACTTAATAAACCTTATTGAACAACACAAATGTGCGTTGTGTACTTTATCGTAGAAAGTCATAATCAAGTACATTGAAATACAGATGACAGAGTACGCGTGAGTGTTCGAGTACTTTAGAAAGTTTCGCAGTAATTGGAAAAATGCCCGCACTGTGCATCATCTTAAAAGAACTTTAAAGAGTCGCATATCTGTCCGCAAGCTTAGTGCGCTGCCGATGCTTTGACATTGCACATGACACTGCGAGCCTGTTTATGCACCACGTTTCTGCCGTGTACGAGGACAACTGTCAGCGGCCGCCCACGCAGACACATTGCAACCGTTTAACCACACTTCCTCTCCTTTTTTTTATCACAAACTAAGTTTGAACTGTATGCAATACTGGCAAGAGGAAAAGAAACGGCGCTCAGAGCTTGCAGCTTACAAAAATGCTGTCACCGATCGCTGCCTCGGAAACTGAAGCTCCCGTGCGGAACTCACCGATGCTGCACAAGTAGCTGTTCTGTCACAGCGCACAGTTCATTTGTTTGAAATCTCTAGCAACCAAACGCAGACGCGAGTAGCTAGGCCTTTTCCCTGCACACAAAGTTCGTAATCCCGGCACCGGTTAGTTCTTCACATCTTTGTACTGGTCAGTGGTCACCGACACGATACAAGTAGCCCGTTCGCGCGAAACAGGCCACAAGTAGCACAATCTCGCGCACGCCACTCGTATTTGAATTTTAGAAAAAGAAAATAAAAAAGCTTGTCACTCGCGCACCAACGTGCACGCACAAACACAAAGTACCGCCTGGTATCGCCACAGAACCGCCACAGAACACCTATATGTATCGCCACAGACCGCTTCTTGAAGCATGAAGTCATATACCAACGCAATATTCGGTGGAGCAATCGTAAGTGAAGCTATTTTTGTTCAGTGCTGCCACTCTGCGGAGCTGCTTTTTCTCCCTCTAGAGTGAAAAAATTCCTTAAATTCTTTTAGATTTTATAAGCGTGCAGTTCTTTTTTTAAGTAATGATATATTAGAGCATTTGTTTGAAAATATTCACTAACATCACCGTGATGAAGGTGAAAAAACGTCGCAGTACGAATTAATAAGCTTTAAACAACACTTTATTCCATGATATCACAAAGGTAAGCGCTAATCACATTTACGGGGGCGGGGGGGCGGACATGTAGTATCGCAGTATTTTATACAAGTCACCAAGAAAAAAAAAGCATTGCATAAAGGTTGAAGGAATAAGTTATCAAAACATTACTTAAGAACACTGCTAGCTGTTCAATGCAAAACACGGAAATCTTACACTGCAATACAGTGCACTTGTAATATCATGCAAGTTACAAATAATAATAATAATAATAATAATAATATAATAATAATAATAATAATAATAATAATAATAATAATAATAATAATAATAATAATAACCAGAACGAGCATATAAAGCGCAGTACGTGAAATATTCCAGTGAGCAATTAAGCTTTCAAAAATCAATCAATTCTGTTATTTTGCAACTCTCCCGCAGAAAATGCTTGGTGGTGTTCATATAAAACATGAAGTGATTCACGCTTACTTAAATTCTAAACAATGTCTTGAAAAACGTCACTTGCAATCTTTATCATGATATCTGATGCAGGATATTGTGAGGAAAAATAGTGTAACCATGAAAGCATATTATGCCGTGAGGCAGTTCATCCCTTGCAACCTGCTGAATGGTAACGAAAAGATATATTTATTAGAAACGTTTACTGCCATATATTTGTTCCAAATATATATCCTTGCATTCTTCCGCCAGGCACATTTTTTCAGCTGTGCAAATAACCGTTTACACGCAGCTTACTGTTCTGGCTGCGCTTTTCACAGAAACCTTGGTGACCGTGGCCGAATCACATGGCTCCACGGCCCAGCTCACTAGTAACGTGACAGCGTTCGCAAAAAAGAAAAACCGATAAAAAAACAGCAAACCAAGGAAATAACGCCGCGGGTGAAATGCTAGAAAATGGAAGGTTGGTGTAAGGAAAACATATACTTGGCGGACTCGAGAGAAAGTGCTTTTTCTTTGGTTGGAACCTGGATTCAGGCAATCGACGTCGAACACGGACTTTACTGAATAAACCGCAATGAAGTGGGGGAGAGGAGAGCGCCGACACAGCGTTGGGGACAGCGACCGGCCCCGTCCCCCCTTGCACCCTTCGACACCACTACTGGGCATGAAACAGCGCTTGTGGGTGGGTGTAGAGGGGGTGTAAAAGAGAAACGGTGGAAGAAGCAACAAAAATGAGGTTGTGGGCGGGACGTCCCTCCATCCATAGAGTTGCATACAAGTATTATTGTATGAAACTCCATGCCTACGTCGATCAGCTTGCTTCACGTGAAAGCAAAATACATACAGGCTACAGGGGACGCACAGCCCACGCCCTAAGGAGCTTCGCCCCTAAAAAAAAAAAAATCTTAGATGTTGACAAATTTCCCTTTTCCCTTAATCCAACCAAAACTCCTTAGATCTAAGGAAAATTTTCTAGAATTGGCAGCTGGTAGGTGTTCTGTGGCAGCACAGCACTGCTTACGTTGCACTTCGACATAGATCTTTGTATGAAAATGTATGATCTATGCACTTCGATGACGTTTAGGCTAATGTATGTGACGTCTTTGCCAGCAATTGTACCACATGGAGGAGTTGCACCAGCTTGAAGTAGGGGTATAGTGCCAAAAACAAGTTAGTAAGGAAAAACTAGTCGGGGCTTTAGCTCATGGAGGAAGGAAAAATGCTTTAGCCTGAAGCTATGCCTCCTCTAGAAAGATGCCTACAACGTGTCCTTCGTGTCCCTTTGTCATCGTCTGCTATCGTCGTGAGCCGAAGAGCTGGTTCCCACTCCCAGCCCTCTCTGGCCAAACAGTGAGGTATGCGAACTGCTGAACACGTTACTGTCCCGTGCTGAATGTGTGCACGCCTGCTAAGAGAGAGAGAGAACGCGCGGGCGATTGTTACCTCATCAACACAGCTGGCTTTTCAGGTTTCACGTGGCGTTTATAGTGTCGGCTGCGAATGTATGTTTGAAATTGAATGCATGATTAAGAAGTCTGCACTAAAGATCTGTCGAACTTTTAAGCAGGAAATTGCCAAGTAAAGGACCTATGATAACATTCGGGGTAGTTCTCTACTGTTAGAGGCCAGGATGAGAGTATTGCGAACCAAGACATATCAGACCAAATCACAGAACACCTACCAGTTTACCAAATACGAAGGAGTAGACACGTACGGTATGCAATGCGTGTGGAGAGAAGGAGGAAACAGCCGAACACTTGATAATGATCTGGAAAGGGCTTCACCGTACAGTTCAGGATTAGGGTGCAGAGTTCTTCAAAGCACTGGGGTTTAGGGACAGGGAGGGAAAAATAGACTTCAAGCGGGTAGAATTAACTAGAAGGAGATTATTTAATTGGCTAAAGTCAAGACACGAGTGAAAATTAAACCCTTCACTGCAAAGTACCAGTCCTCAACTTCACTATTGAAAGGAGAAAAAAAAAAGATAAATCTAGTTTTTGGTTCATTAAGTAGTATGGCTAGGTAGCGATAGGTGCCGCCCGATTTAAAGGGCACATCTTTATCAATCCGTCCATCCAGCGATCGAGCGCTTACTGACGCGGCTGCTTTGAACCATAGAGTTTAATTCATATTATTGTATGAAACTAAATACTTTAAACCTTGCGGCCTCTGAGATTAAAACAATGTCTATTGCCGTCCCGGAGGCCATAAAGGCAACACGGTCTTAGATGGATGAATGACCACTTTATTGGAGGCCCCCTACTCCCCGTCCCCGGCACATATTTCCATAGGTGACGGGGGCCGGCAGCGAGGACCGGCATCTCCACGATTAGAAGCAGGCGAAAAGGTTCTCAGATCTTCTGACTTATCGCGTCTTCTTCCGCCAGGCGGATGGCTTAAGTTGCATGTCTCTGTTGGCATGTTTGTTGGGGTGCCTACCCTATCTCTGAGATGGCCCCCTTGGATGGCCCTGACGGGGTCACTTCTGAAACCCTTCCCGAAGGTTTCTGGCAGTTTGATTCTCCACGGTTTTTGGCTACGCCCTTGCTTTGAACACTCGGTGAGCAACTGGTTCGCGCCTCCATTGTTTGTGTGCATTGACTATCAACGTCACTCGACTTCTCCCTCCATCCTTAAACTAGACCTAAAATCAAGGAGTTTAAAAAAAATTGCTGAAGTGGAAGCTCCCGAAATGCCCCGCCAGTAAATATGAAATATGAAGCCAGATTTCGCCCTGCCAAGATGTCGGAAATATGCTCTTGCCTGGTAGTGCCCACTTTGAGAAGTGGCCTTGATATGTTGTGAATGCTACGCTAATTTTACATTAAAATATCGCTGTTCTTGACGAAATAACACACATAAACAAGTTTGGGAGACTTACTCTATAATGAACTTAGAAGTGTGGCGGTTTGGGCTAGTTGGTATATATGACAGAACGTCCTCCTTCGTGTCCCTTTGTCGTCGTTCTGTTCTATCGTCTCCAATGAAGCTTGCCTCCAATTAGAGACACTTACTAGGAAAATCTAGTAACACTAAGATGCAGTTGAAGCGCTATGTCACCCTCCCCCCCCCCCCCCCCCGCCAAAAAAAAAAAAAGCTTACACATTAAACTCTTCGGGCGTGCGAGGGAAAGGTTCCATTTTTAGTAACTGAACGGCAAGTTTATTAACCCCCCAGTAAAATGGCCGCCGCAACCGCCATCTTGCCATAGGAACGGCCTCACTCCTGGGCACGTGCTCCTGGGCAAAAATTTCCACTTCAGCAATTTTTTTAAAACCTCCTTGCCTAGAATACACCACTTTAGCGAATTAAATATGAAAAAAGAACTTAAAAAAACGTCAGCACTAAAGGAAGCACGTGGCACGCACAACAGCGTGTCGTTCTTTTTTATACTTTTTTTCTCTTTACATGCACCATGCCAACTCGTCAATGTTATCGCATTATGAAAATGAGCTTAAATTGAGTGTTTAACCATTAGCCTAACTGTGAGCGCTAGCTCATGAGGGGTGAAAATGTCTGACTTTTCCCAATAGTGATGAAATCATTCACGTAGGTTTAAATAGCCACTGACATCGAAAACTTCGAAGCTTTTTGAACATCGTAGGTGAGGTTTGCGCTGAACGTAGTGCCACGGGGTGATATCAAAACTTGAGGAAAGGAATGTGGCAATTTTATCAGCAGGAGTGCCCTACTTACCGAGAAACTAGGGTAAGAGCATGTGAATACATGCACTACGATAGGACATTCCGAAAATGATCCCGATGACGTCAGATGAACCGTCTACAAATAATCACTAGTAATCGAACTAGCTGCCCTAATTAAAGAGCCTTCCGTGCATTAAGAGACGTAATAAAATGCTGTTTGATCGTTTCTGTTTGATTCAAAGAAAAAAATAACCGCCGGACGTTACTACGGGGAATGGCACAAGTAGTTCAAAAATTCTATTCTCGCCTAGTAAACTGGACACTTCGTGCCACATAGCGGGGCCCAGTAGAACCAAAATGTGTCTGCCATCTTAGAGCCAATGGCAGCCGTAGTGTCTTCTGTTATTCCTTATTCGCACTGCTTTCGTTCTGCTGCTACTATATATGGTGCGACGTATGTAAGTCATACCGGTGTACATGTCCCATCTGCTTATCCAGCCAACAAGTGTCGCATAATGAGAGAGCATTGAAAAGATGCCTGCTTGCGGCCGCCGCTTTTGCAAGTTTCCAGCTGTTAGCAGACGCATGCGAGCGCCTCCCAACAAACATAATAACAATATTTTC